CGATTCGTTTTTGTCTAAATAAATCATATGTGATTAGATACCTTTTATCACATATGATTAAATACACGAGAATAAAAAAAATGTATATTATCCACATAAATCACATGTGATTAGACATATATAATCACATCTGATTATATGTTTTAATCACATATGATTTATGTGAACAACATGCATTTTCACGTTGTTGATTCGTTAGTTGTTCTCTTATATTTAATCACATGTGATTATATGTATGATGTATCTAATCACATATGATTTATATTGACAAGATTAATTTTCATATTTTCTCTTCAACAAAATTTTTTATGTTTTTAATCACATGTGATTTATGTGGACAATATTTATTTTTGTGTCGATTCAATAATTTTCTCATGTATTTAATCATACATGATTAATGTGGACAAGATTCGTTTTTTTTTTTTCATATAAATCATATGTGATTAAATACATATAATCACATGTGATTATACACAAAAAAAAACTATTGAATCGAGAAAGCGAGAATGAATTTTGTCCACATAAATCTTTTGTGATTAGATACGTATAATCACATGTGATTATATGTATTTAATCATATATGATTTATGTGGACAATATTCATTTCTCGTTTTCCATTCAATAGTTGGTGTCGTGTATTTAATCACATGTGATTATATGTATATAGTCATATATGACTTATATGGACAATGTTCATTTTCATGTTTTCGACTCAATATTTGGTCTCATGTATTTAATCACATGTGATTAAATATATTTAATCACATATGATTTATGTAGAAAAAAAATATTTTCGCGTTCTTGATTCAATAATTATTCTCATGTATATAATCACATATGATTAAATGTATCTAATTACATAGGATTTATATGGACAAAATTCACTATCAAGTTTTAGATTCAATAATTTCTCACGTATTTAATCACATGTGATTATAAGTATCTAATCATATGTGATTTATATGGACAAAATTGAATCGATATTGTCTATATAAATCATATGTGATTAGATACATATATTAACATATTATCAAATATACAAGAACAACTATAGAGTCGAGAACACAAAAATGAATACTTTCCACATAAATCATATATCAATTTAATCACATATGATTAATGTGGTAAAAGAACAACTATTGAATTAAGAATACAAAAATAAATCATGTCTACATAAAACATACGTGATTAGATACATATAAGCACATGTGTATTTAGTCACATGTGATTATATTTATTTAATCACATATGATTTATATGGACAAGATTCGTTTTCGCGTTCTTGATTCAGTAGTTGTTCTCGTGTATTTAATCACAAGTGATTAAATGCATTTAATCAAATACGAATAAAATGGACAAAAAACCATTATTGAATTGAGAATGTGAAAATGAATATTGTCCACATAAATCATATGTGATTAAATACATATAATCACATGTGATTATATGTACCCAATCACATATTATTTATTTGGACAAATTTCATTATTTCTTTCTCAATTCAATACTCATGTACTTAATCACATGTGATTATATGTATCAAATCACATATGATTTATATTGATAGTATTCGTTTTCACATTTTTTATTCAATATTTTTCTCATGTATTTAATCATATGTGATTGTATGTATTTAATCACATATGATTAATGTGGAAAAACAAAAACTGTTGAATCGAAAATGCCAAAATGAATCTTGTGTACATAAATTATATGTGACTAAATGTACAAGAACAACAATTGAACGAGAATGTGAAAGCGAATATTCTCCATATAAATCATATATGATTAGATACATATAATCTCATGTAATTAAATACACAAGAACAACAACTGAGTCGAGAACGCCAAAATAAATATTTTCCACATAAATTCTATGTGATTAGATATATGTAATCACATGTGATTATATGCATTTAATCACATATGATATATGTGGACAATATTTATCTTTGTGTTCTCGATTCAATAGTTGTTCTCGTGTATATAATCTTATGTGATTATATGTATCTAATCACATATGATTTATATAGACATCATTATTTTTTGTCCATATACATCATATGTGATTAGATACATATAATCACATATGTATGTATTTAATCAAATATTATTTATGTAGACAATATTTATTTTTCGCGGTTTCGATTGAATAATTGATTTTGTGTATTTAATCACATGCGATTATATGTATATAATCACATATGATTTGAGGTGGAAAAGATTCATTTTTGCCTTCTTGGTTCAATAGTTGTGCTCATGCACTTAATCACATGCGATTAAACATATAATCACATGTGATAAAATACATGAGAGCAACTATTCAATCGACAAAGCGATAATGAATTGTGTCCACATAAATCATGTGTGATTAGATTCATATAATCACATGTGATTAGATGTATTTAATCGCATATGATTATTTTGGATAATGATTTGTTTTTGTGTTCTTGGTTCAATATTTTTTATCATGTATATAATCACATGTGATTGTATGTATCTAATCACATATGATTTATATAGACAAGATTCATTTTTTCCAAATAAAATCATATGTGATAAGAAACATATAATAACATCTGATTAAATGTAATTAATCACATATGATTAAAGTGGAAAAAAGACAATTATTGAATCAAGAATGCAAAAATGAATCTTAGCCACATATATCATATGTGATTAGATACACATAATCACATGTTATTATATGTATCTAATCGCATATGATTTATGTGGACAATATTCATTTTTGTGTTCTCGATTCAATAGTTGTTCTCGTGTATTTAATCACATGTGATTATACGTATCTAATCACATATGATTTATGTGAATAATATTCAAATTCGCATTCTCAATTGAATAGTTGTTATCATATATTTAATCATATGTCATTTTATATATTTAATCACATATGATTAATATGGACAAAGAACAATTATTGAATCGAAAACACAAAAATGAATCTTGTGCATATAAGTCATATGTGATTAGATCATATAATCGCATGTGATTTCATACATGAGAACAATTAACGAATCGAGAACGTGGAAATGAATCTTGTCTGCATTTCACACTAAAAAACAAACTACATTTTGCCTTTCCTTGTTCACTCTACCGGATTAGGGTAAACGTAAACAATATCATAAAACAAGTAATGCCTACATAATAGGAGAGTTAGTGTAACTCGCCTCCTTGAACTTGAAAATCAGCTAGCATGAGCAAGATGGATCATTTCCTTTCTGAGAACCTACACAACAATCATAACATTATTTAGCTTGTACTTTGTTGTATTACTCTTATAAAACTTATGTATATATTTTCTTATTTTCTCTTTGATTGTAGTGCTCTTTTGGGATCTGTTTTCTTACCTTTCAACCCATTCTTAAATTTCGATAAAATAATAATGGTAAAGTTCCTTCTTTTATCTTTTCATAAATATAAAGATCTCGTTCTAATGATTTTTGGTTGATTTTATATTAAATTTACAAGTTAGTAACTTTAAGCTGTCACATTCTGGACCACTCAACACTATTGGAATAAACTGTACCAATATACTAAGAATTACATCAAACCCTTTATATGTGGGAAACTATAAATCCATATCTAACTATAGGCTTTGGAATTTTGTCATTTGGAGTTCTGATGATTTTATTATGATATTTTGAAGACAATGCATGAAATTTGTGATAGCATGGACCAAACTGAGAAGATTGCCAATTTTACCCCTCCAGGATTTGGAATTTCGAAATGTGATTCAAAGTTTGAAGAAACTAGACACAATAATATTTCCAGAAAAACAAGTCTCATGATTTTTAGGTGTTCCTACTGACTTGCACGAATTTTAGAAGTTGGAGGACAGATTTGGGAAAATTGATCATAATAGCTTTTAAATCACTTTTGGTGTTCTATTAAGTACTTAATGGTTAAGCCTTAAGTTTATCACTTTCGGGGCAAGGTAGATTGATTGTTGAAGATCAGAAAGGGTAGAGGCAAAAATAGGACGTTGTGTCGACGAGTAGAAAGAAAAAAGAAAGGGACTTGTGTTTAATAGTCTAAATTTTTTAAACTCATAGCCTAAAAAATGTTCTCAAATGTTCTCACGGGAAAAATGTTTTCATTGGAACATCACTCTATATATATATATATATATATATATATATATATATATATATATATATATATATATATATATATATATATATATATATATATATAATTTCAAATTTACAAAATTACACTAATGGTCCTTGAGGTTTGTTTTATATTATAAATTTGGTACAATGGCAAAATTGTATTTTTCATAAAAATTTAACGGATGATAAGTTAGATTTAACGGCAGGAGGAGCATTCATGAAATTTTGCATACCAGAAGGACCATTGGCGTGACTTTTTCCATAAAATTCTTCAAAATGAGATATTTTGAAAACGACAGGGACCAATTATGAAATTTTGTCTTACCGATTTCATTCATAAAAGAATCAATCATTTCATAATCCTTTAAAATAAATCAATATTTGAGAAAATATATACTAAAAATTTATTTTTCTTACGTACACATTTTCTGTAGCGTGAGAGTTTGTTCATATTAAGGTCGTGATCTAGCAAGCGATTAAAATATATACTACGTTTCGAAGTTAATTCGGTGATTATGTAAAGTGATTTATGCAAATAACGTTAAATCCTTTTTATGAAGATCTAATTACAGGTTTGTAAAACTCGATAGAATGCATAAACACATATCAACTAATTAACTAGGGTGGACATTGCTACAACCAACGTCAATAGCCATGTACATCTACCTTCGTTTAGATAAAAAGATGCCAAATAACAAGAGGACAAGGAAACAAATAGGAAAATATCCTTTTTCTATTACAGCAAATTTGACCGTAATTGATTTTAAAGAACTAAAGCCTGTCACAAACGCAAAGGACACACCAACCGGAACACCAAATATGTTTTAATAGTTTACCATCGTAGTTTAATGTGCTTAATTTATATGCAAACTAAATACTAAATTTTCATGTATCTATCTGTGCTTATATATGTATATGTTTAAACATTGGAGGTTTGAAATTATAACCTCTAAAAATGCTACAACGAGCTCTCATTTTCTCATTCCCCGTATTTTCTCTCATCTTCGGTCTTTTATCAGTTTCCGCCAAAAATTCCATAATATATGTTAAATGCTCTAAGCTTTGCTTCACCACCAGGACACCTTACGAGTTAAATGTCAACTCACTTTTCACATCGATAGTAAACTCAGCCTCCGTCTCTACATTCAACAAATTCATAATCTCACCTCCTGGATGCTCAGCAAGCGATGTTGTTTACGGCCTCTTTCAGTGTCAAGGCGACCTTAGCAACTCAGATTGCAGAGACTGTATAATCACCTCAGTGAGTCAAGTAGCGACCACATGTCCTCGGTCAACCAGTGGAGCCATACAGTTAGATGGGTGCTTTCTAAAATACGATAATACATCGTTTTTTGGGGTTGAAGACAAGATGGAGGTGTCGAAAAGTTGTGGCCCTCCGATAATTGGTTATACTTCGGTTATGAACCTTATAGATGATGCACTCGCGTATCTAATTGTCGGCAATGGACAATACTTTCGTGCGGGAGGGTCTGGCAGTGTGCAGGGTGTAGCACAATGCGTAGAAGATTTGAGTCTAAGCGAGTGTGAAGATTGCATCTTGGAGGCTCGTGGACGGTTGAGATCTGAGTGTGAGACATCGTCTTGGGGTGATATGTATCTTGGAAAATGTTATATCCGATATGCTGATCATGGGTTCAAACCTGAAAAAGGTAAGCGCTTGCTCAATCTCACCTCCACCATAGCCTGCTTTCGAGGTGGTCGTGGTTCTATGCATGGATTAAATTATTATGGTTAGTTATTGGAACTAAGTAAGATTAACATGGACAATTTGCATGAATGCAGGTAATGATAATAATAACTATAATTTTAATGATAATAATTATAACTATGATTATAATTATGATGGATCGAAAGAAAGAAAGAAATCAAAACGAGTGAAGAAACTGGCGATTACAATTGGAACCTCAGTTGGAGGGGCTTCTTTGATCATTGGTATCATTGCTGGTACTATCATCTACAAAAAGAGAGGTACATTCTTTGATTAAAAAACAATTATGTTAATAAACATACATCGTTATACTTTATATTTGGAACATGTATATTGCTTGACAATAATCATTTAAGTTAGTTCATTATTATTGTTTGACTATTTTTTCATATATTTTTTTTTAAATCTTTTATTTTATCTTCGAATTTTAACTTTTGTCCGTCTTCGCAGCAAAGAGATGCCATTAAACTGTTCTTAAAAGATTCTTGGTTCTCCAATATGAAGCAAGCTAAAAATAGAGGGATTCCCTAGAAACTCCTCATGTATTCCTTTTTCACACAACATCTTATACGGATCAAAATTTAGTTGTACACTTTTTTTTGGGAGTGTTTATTATGGTGTGTATGATAGCTAGGTACATATTTTTGTAAATAATGAATGGTTTCATATATTTTGTTGCTCAAACAATAAATGGTTTGATGTGTTCTGGAAATGAACTATTAGATGCATAATTCTTAACATCAGTGCTAAGATAAAATGAAAAGGACAAGTTTTTACTGTTTTAGTTTGAAATTTTATCAAAATGAGCTAATCGGACTCGGCCACGTTTGTTGTTTTCGATGATCAGGGATATTTTTGTCTTTGATGTGTGAACTAAGTAGCCGAGCTAGACTACACCACGGCCAGTGTATGGTCACCCTTAAAGTAAACCTTCATAAGAGATTTGTATCCAAGACCTTTTCTACGATTATCCTTTGTGGTGGTTGAGTCATTCATATGGTAGTTAGGAAGGACAACGAGAAAAATAAATAAATAAATAAATAATAAAAAAATTAAGAAGGATAGAGACCGATAAAACATTAACACTATATGGCCGTTTACTGAAGAAATTGATTAAGACTTGTGACCAATCCTGACCATTAGATGATTTTTTTTATATGATTGTTTATATTTAACTAGAAATCTATATTATACTACTCTTATATATATATATATATATATATATATATATATATATATATATATATATATATATATATATATATATAGTAGTCGTTTACCCGCGCAAAACAGCGGTAGCGAATAGTTTCTTTTCGGCAGTTATATCCACTCAGAAACATGTTGTATTAGAAATAAGACAATTTATTGGCAAGTATCAATGAACATTAGTTTCAATTCGGATAAAATACTATGATTGCGATTAAATTTCATTCTGATAAATAGTTTTTTAGTACCGAATAGTTTCTTTCGGCATGCGACAAATTGTTACTTTTTAGGGTAAAGAGGATGAAACAAAACGACGCATTTTGTTTTGGGTAGGTTGGGGGTGTTATAATTTTAGTTGTGTTTTTATAGGTTGTATAAACTATGATGAGAGCGTGACAATTTTAAACCATTGAGGGAACATATTAGGAATGGGAAAGATGGTTTGAGGGTGAAGAATATTAATGATCAAGAGAGATGGAATTTCAAACAACAATGACTGAATAATTTTATTTGGGATTTTCTAATATGTTTCCTCAGAGCACATATAAGAAGCATTAATTGAAGTAATTATAACAAATATTAACATAATTAAATTTGATAAACATTAATTATGTATAATATTACCATAATTAAATGTAAAATACATTAATTATAAAGAATATTATTTATAATTAACGTTTATCACATTTAATTATGGTAATGTTTCTCATAATTAATACTTCAATAAATGCTTCTTATATATTAGAAAATTTCTAATCTCAGTTTATTTTATTTTCGATCAAAGGGATATGGCAAGCGGTATGTTTATTTATTTTTTTTAATATCCAATTCTAAATCATATGACAAATGAATGTCAAATCAATCAAGAGAAATTAATGAACATGGTTTGGTTTTAGCTAAAACTAAAATTTAACAAAGAAAGTCGGTTTCATCTCTAAAAAGTCTATTTCCAGATTGACTGTATATTATTGGTATTTTTAGATTGTGTATATTATTTAATTTGTATATCTTTATTTAAAAGCTTTTCTAATATATCTTATGCTAAAACAAATTTCGTTTTTTGGTATAAATCATTTTGACGTTTCTTTCCTGCTCTTTTTTAAAATAACAAACCCTTTAAAATGCAACTATAATTTTAAAAAGTACTTAATTTAAAAGCTTATAATATATAACCTTCAACACCAAAATGAAAGTTTAAATAAAATCCACATGTTGACTTTAAATGTCATCATAAAAGTTATATATTAAATTTAACACCAAGTTTAATTAGTGAGATATAGAGTGTGTGGCAATTTGCATGTACTATGATGAGGTAAATTCATGGTTTTTATTTTCTATTAATTGAAGTGTTTTTCTGTGGTTCAAAGAAATATATAAAAATTGAAGTATTTTTATTTTAATGAATAGTTAATAAAGTTTAAATGTTTGTAGTTATCTTTGTCGAAATATGTTAGTGGAAGGTATATACCGTTTTAATGTATTTGAATATTAAAATTATTTCTATATAAATAAAAACAAATATTTACAAATCAAGACTAAAACAAAACTTTTGAAGGCCTAATCCCTACATCGAAAAATAAGAATGATAACTTTTAACCACAAGTTTAATTAATGTTTTAATAATGAAGTAACAAATTTCCAGTATTCTTGCTCTGTTTTGATAACTTTTAACACAAATTTCCAGTAACAAATAAAAATGTTCCCATTATAAGCTGATATGATTGTTCATACCCACAGCCGTTCGCCTCACCACAGATAAAATTTTCAGTAACAAATAAAATTTTCAGTTCTTTGACTTTTCTCCCTCTAAAATGTGCAAAAAATAACAACCATTAAAACCAACATATGATTGGGGTTTGTTTAAGACAAATACACGATTACATCTTCATTTCATCGATACACCATATAAATTGACACCAATAAATGAAAATAGTAAAAGACCAAATGTAATGAAAACTCACCCTTATTAAACAATTCCATAGTCATTATCTATGTTGAAGTTCCTCCTCTTCTTCGATACTTCCTTGGTGGCATTGCTTAGTATCACAAAAGCTACCTGAATTCAAATAATTCTTTAGATTATTCAGATAAAAACAGAAAACATAACCATTCTTGAAAATGATAATCTTATGTCTTTTATGGTTATCGATCTTTCCACATACACATGCCTACTACCAATGTAAGAGAGCATTCCATGTAAAGATTTGAACCATTTTTTCTCCAGACATAAAGAAATTCCCTTTTAATCTTTTGCATGACATCGTAAACCAAGAATTCACAAGGTGGACGTTTCTTGGAATATAGGATTATTTATGTTTTGGAGGTATTCAAAATTAACAACCAATCACACTTTTTACTGATGGTTTTGATTCTTTCAAGAAATATTTAAACTACATTTTCTAGTTCTGCAATATTTAGACTACATAACCATAAATACACTCAATTTAGAAAATGGTCAGTCAAACCTACATACCTTTAGTCCCAATCTCCAAGTCTAGTCTCACTAAAAGTAACAGTAAGACTCTGGAAGAGATGAACAAATTACTTAATAAACTAATATGACATATATAAACGTGAATCAATACCTAAGAAGCTTCTATAAAACCACTAACCTGAGGTACAACTATAGTAGAAACAAAACAACATCATAATGTTAGGGAAAATTAAGAAAAATAAGAGAAGATAAGAGTATATACCTGAAGCTCTCAACGGAAACTTCATCTCTTTTTCTAAGGATTTTCCGTGTTGGGGAAGAATCAATACCTACAAATAACAAATATCATATCAAAATGTCAGATCCGCTACAATGAACTTCATAATCGAGTTTTTATTCAAAATTTCACACACATTCCCAAAACTTCATCGTTCTTAAAGTGATTTATATCTAGAAAATGTCGAACATATCTACGTGATGAAATAACCAAGAGGCAGTCAAACCAAAAATCATCAGCGATTGAATGAAAAAGGGGATATGAGAAATTTTAGGTTTGAAATTTGAACAATACTAACAGAAATATTTACCTCGAGACTGAAGAGAAACCGATCGACAAAAGGAGAAGCTCCGAAAAAAATTGTGATTTTAGCTAAAATTAAAGTAGAGAACTTGGATTAAAATCGGTCTTCTAATCGATAAGATCTTAATAAGCATCGGAGAGTGAGAGATAATCAAGTATCAGTTAGGATGAAGGGTCTCATACAAAAGAAAGGGAGAGATGATTGTGACACACGTAGGATTATGTGTGACAATGAGTGGTGGTATTGATGGTTTTTGTACCTCGTAGAAACCTTACATCAAGAAAGCCTGTGACTAAAGTAGATGGTGAAGAAAGTGTATACCTTGAATTTATCAGTTATGAAGACGGAAGGGATGTGGGAGAATTAGATCGAATTTGTGGTTCATTTCCACGAATGAAGGCTGAGGACCAAGTAAACAAGAGATAAGATGGAAAGATAAACCCTTCAAAATCATATAAAATCTTTTAGGATTGCATTGCATACTTATACAAATTGCATTTGTTTTTTACAATTTAATTTAAATAAGGCTAAGTTTAAAATTTAAAATTTAATATTATTTTATTATTGGTTACTTGTACTCATAACTTAATGGTTTGGACGTCTTAAAAAAATATTATTATTATATTCAATCTATCTTTAGAAATAATATGATTTCTTTTGTAAGATAGTATATATATATATATATATATATATATATATATATATATATATATATATATATATATATATATAAACTAGCCGTTTACCCGTGCCAAGCGTCGGGTGCAAATAGTTTTTTCAAAAATTAGTTTGTATAGGCGGCGATAGGTCTTTTGCAAAAATAGATACTACATCTAAACAATTATAAATAAGAATCATGGTAACAGAAATCAAATCAATAAAAATTGAAAAAAAATGTTTAAAAATTTAATGAGTTATGTTAAAGTCTCGTTTAAAATATAAACGATAATCAAGAATACATTAGTTACAATTTAAAAAAAACAATAATATCCACCTAAAGGTAGATACAATCATACAATAATATATTATTGTATTTAAATTATTTACCTAAAAGTAGATACGATCATACAATAATATATTATTGTATTTAAATTATTTCTTAATATGCATAACGACGTTTTTTTATGAGCTTTTAATCTTTAATACAATGTTGTTTCAACATAATTAAAATTAAAAAAAAAATACAAGGTTAGCACCCTTGTTAGTTAACAATAAGTTTATCCATTTAGTTTTTATAAACAATTATAGAAGATGTACCAAAAATAAATAAATGAATAATACAATTAACGACTGGAAATTAAAATTCAAAGAAATAAACATGTTAAAGACTAACACACTATTATTCACTATCATCATACTTTTTTAAAGGCTCACGTGTCCATGCTTCTTGTAATTATTAATCATCTTTTGTTGC